TATCACTTGCTAACATTTGATTATTTTCCACTCACTCCTCAACCCAATGGTTTTTGTTCTTATCATGCGATTGCAATTGTTGTATGCTAAGTACCCTCTCCTAAATTCTAAACTCCAAGCTTAAGCCCAGCCTAAATGTCTGAACTCGGTTAAGTTTTCGGTGATACCTCCTTCTGAACTTATATTCTTTGGTGTGGCTCTGGTATTCTTTGGGTGTAGTGCTCTTAAAGAACTCAGCACATGTTTTTGTATGTCATCTTAAAATCAGAGCAGAGTGGTGCTTGAGGTTTCATTACTCATTATTCAGTTTTACCAATGGTTCAGTTATTGATAATAACTGACAGTAATGTAAAATTTCAGTATAAGAAAATAATTTGGATCAGGGAAAAGATATTGGAATCAGGAGACCTGAGCTCTAATGCTAGCTTGCACCTTTACTGTACAAGAGGAAATTGTGCAACTTTCCTGAGGCATATCATTATATGAATTGCAGTATATTCTGAATCGTATAAATGAAAACAGATTCTAAAAATGGGGTAAAAAAAAAAAGCAACATTACCTACCATAGACTTTATATGGGTACAAAAATCAAAAATGGTTGGAACAGCATCCATTTTAAGTCGTCGAGTTTGTCCTGTTAGGTCAAAACAGGAAGCTTCAAAGTGCTTTGAACAAAGAAAAGTATGTTTTCCTGGCACAAAATTTTTGCGCCTAACCAGGCGAACCCATTCTTTTCTTCTTTTAGGATCCAAAGGAAACCTTTAAAACAAAACAAAACAAAACAAAACAAAACAAAAAAGACAACTCAGACAACTCAAATTCTAACTATCACACTTCTGGTTGTACCTAAATGATTAAAATAAATTTTAAGAGGTGTTGATTTAAAAGTAACTTCTATTTACACATAAAAATTTAAATTCTCAATATCCTGACACTGGAACAGAAACTAATTCATGCTAAGTTTTATAAGTTGTAAAATAAATAAATTACTATGATTTGAGTGGTTTATTTTTCAGGGTTTTAAAAAGAGATCTTTCTTCCTTGCCTAGTTCTTAACATGGGTAGTAAAATATAAGATTAAGCTGATCCAGATCAAGTTTACATAGACCCATAAGCTGGAGTAACTTCATAATGCTTTGATCTGCTGCTGATATATACAGAGTCAAGACAAATCAGATATCTACAGGTCAAATTTTATCAAGGAAAGCCTAGACAAATTCTGGTATTCCTTCCTCTGTGTTCTTTCACTGTTTTGTAATTTTTCCATTTGAATAAATTTCCACTGAAATAAAAGTAGATTATAAATTCCTTGAGGACAGGGATTATTTTATCATTTCATCTATTTATCTTTAAAATTTAGCACGGTGCCTTGCAAACAATAAGGACTCAACAAAATTCTTAATATGGTACAAACGATACATACTAATAATTCACTGCATTACTTCCATGTAAGCTGCATATTTAAAAAAATGAACTCTTAAGTTATTGTAATACAGTAGAAAGCATAATTATTACAAAAAGTAAAATGCTGCTGATTTTATGTTTTTCCTTTCATATTTATTTCAAATCCAAAATATAAAATATACTAATATGTACTCAGTTAAAGAGAAAAATGGACTGTCTAAAAATTCTAGTGGTAACTGTGTTGACTGACTTGGAACCATAAGAATCAACACATGTAACAAGCTTGAGTTTAACTCTTTCTCAGTTTGATTATCTTATCCTTTAAGTATTAATTATGAACTGAGTAGTGTTTAAAAAGAACCATTAATGTTAGATCATATGACATAGAAGCCCCAGCTGAAGCCTTCACTAGGTCTTTATCAGATATATAGATTTGCTTGTATTACCAGCAGTAGAGGCACAAAGAGATGAAAGCATAGATTTACTGGTAAACACCCTCCCATCACCCGTCCGTATCCCCAAACCCCAAACATACTGATCTGAAGATAATAACATTTGTATGTCACTCTACAGATCATGTGTTTTCATGTTTTTTTCTACTTCATTAGAAATATCTGGTGGAGAATTTATCTACTCTGCCTAGCCCTCACCTCTTAATAATAATGTACTCTCATTTCAAAGATCTCTGTTCCAGTATTTAATGGTTTGGAAATGTTTCCTTTGGCCTAAGCTAAAAATCAAGCTTTAGTTTATAAGCATTAAACTTATTCTCAACTGTTTGTTGGGGCCTCAATAAAGACTCAGAATAAGTAAATACTATCATTATATTATATGTATAAGACTCTTCAGATTTATGAACACTTTCAGATATCATTAACCTTTTCTAAGTTCTTTTTAAAACTAGCTCCCTAATTATGAAATACCTCAAACTGAACCTTAACTTGACCAAATTTTATTTCCTTAGTTAAGACTCAGTTTAGGAATCTCATTTTCCCAAAGAAGTTTTTCAGGATCAGAAGACAAAGGTTAGACATTCCTGTTATACAGAACTAACATCACTGTATTCTAGTTGCTTACTTATCTATCTCCACCACTAGATTTTAAGTTTCTCCTGGTTATGAGCTATGTTTTTCACTACTTTATCCTGTTAAGTAAGCACTCAATAAACTTTCCTGAGTGAATCAATGAAGGGGGGGGGCGTTGTTAGTTTAGCATTACTAAATAATCTTTAGTTATCTGTGTTAGAATAATAATCAACAATTTTATATGTAGTTTTGGATAATGCTTTTTATAGCATCAGCCTTAATCATGTTTTCTATGTGTTTGAATTTTTCTCAGCATATTCAAAGGGTGGTAGATGTAGCCCATAAGCTGAATTTAAGTAATAATAAATCATCTTGTAACTATTAAAAAATTAACATGGTGGTAACGTATATATTTTTGTCTATACAATAATAGAACTAGACTTCTAGAAACATTGGATGTTTTGGAAATACCACTCGATATTTTAAACAATGCTATTTTGCTTGAGTCTTTAATAAGTGACCACATGCCTCCTATATTCCAAGCACTGTCCTAGGCACTGAAGACATAGTGGTAAACAAAACACATTGATCTACTTTCATGGTATATACCTTCTTTCCATAAGGGTTTACTGTAATGGGGAAGATAGAGAATTGAATAGCTTGATGCAGTAGAAAACAGTGGTTGAAACACATTGTCTCTGGAATCAAACCAAGTTGCCAATTCTGGCTCCTTCACATAATAGCTAAGTGACTTTAGGCAAATTATTTAACCTTTTTAGGCCTTTTATCTGTAAAGGTACCAAGGGTGGTTCTAGGGATTAGATAAGACAATGTGAGTAAACGTTTAGCCCAGGGCATAGTAGATAGTAAATATGAAATAAATGCTACTTGTTATTGTAAAAGTAATTATAAGTATCATGAATACTATAAAAGGGTAAGTACGAGGTCACATGGAAACATGAAACTGGAAGAACTAATTTTCTCAGGAAGCCTTAGGGTAGTAGGAATTAGCTAAGGGAATTAGAGTGGGAGTACTGAAGATTTTGAGTATTTTAGGGACAGGGAAGAGTGTTATGACATGAAATGATGCTGGAGGGCCTTCTAAGAGTAATTTTGAACTTAATCCAAAATGGCATTAGTAAGCCTTTAAAAAGCCTAATTTTGAGAGCTGATTGTTAACAAAATGTTTCAACTGGCTGTTAAAGACAGCCATTATTAAAAAACAATGCAAAATTGCAATAAAAACAAAGGTAATAAATACTAAAACCTCTTTACCTCCTAATTATTTTAGCATTACCTATACCCTTAAGGTTGTACCTATTGTATCTGTGTGGTATAAATGTTATATATAATGTGGTGCTGCACATTTCTTTCCAACTCCATGATCAGTGATGTCATATTGATAGCTTGAAATCAGCCGTGATGAGTCTTTATATCAGAGAAACTGGGAAAATATTACAAATCAGGGCTATTCCCTACCCTGGAGACCAGGGAAAAACTGAGACTTGTCCTATAGGTCTGAATCTCATTAGAGAGATTTGGACTGGGGATACTTGGGAGGCATCAAGTAAATGTTACCTGAGACCACAGAAAGACTTGAAATCTTTTTAAGAGTGTCAGGGGACAAGGAGAGGATCTAGCAGAGGAGACTGAAGATAGGCTGAAGAAGTAAGATGAAGACCACCAAATTAGTGTCAAATAATTCAAAAGTAGATAGTATTTGAAAGAGGAATGTAGGAGTGATGACTCATGTTAGTAATTGCTGTTTCAGAAGATTACTGAGGATACTTACACAGGGGTGGGTAAGAAGAATGGAGAGTCAAGTTTAGGCAACATAAATTGTACTTGGGAATAAAGGAATCTACCAATGTTCTAGGAGAGGAGTTAATATTGTTTGTATTTAGGAAATAAAAATGTATTTTTATAAGTAATTTAAGACCTAAATTTCTGAGGTTACACAAGACGTTAATTTCATAGGAGGCAAATGGTCAAATGTGGAAAGGAGGTATGCATACTGTACTACTGTTCATCTCTTAAACATTCAATATTATTGGTGCCTTGACTCCTCCTTTTCCCTCATCTTCTAATTCAAATTACCAAATATAGTAGCTTCTCCTCAAACATTTTTCAAATCTGTCTACTTTTTTCCATCCCTACTGTCAGTACCACTCCAATCTAGGCCACTGGGTACTCATCCTTGTTTTACTACAGGTTCTCAACTTTTTTCTCTATCAGCTCTCACTTTTTCTTCTCTAGTGATGGTTGGTGCTAGCAATGAAGTACATTGTTTAGTTCACATGACACTGTAGCAGAACTTCCCTGTGAAACAGTAGGTAAATTCTTTAAAAAGCTCCTTTCTCATCAAAATCTTTTGATGATGCTTGACCAGCACTTTAAATAACACTGTAATTCTCTACACTGCAGCCAGAGGGCCTTTTAATATGCACATCTAATCATGCCATTCTTTTAAAACCTTCTCTGGCTTCTCAAATACTAATTGTATAAAATAGGAAATTCTTAAAGGAGCATACAGGAACAAATCTGTTATTCTCTGATCTCATTTGAAATTTCACATCCTTCGAGAAGTGTTGACTTTCCAAGGCTAAGTGGTCTCCCTGAATGTCTCTTCCGTGGCACTTAACTGAAATTATTTATGTCTTTCTTTCTCAATACACTCTAAACTCCAGGAGTTTAAGAATTTTCTGGATCCCTAGCACAATGTTAGGCAAATAAGAACACGGTACACATTTGATGGATGTATGAATAAAGACTTCATTTGCATGAAATAGCTAAAAAACAGAAACATCACAAAGATTTTTTTAAGTGGCAACTTTTAATAAGGTGGTACATTTAGTTATAATGAAGTAGAGAAAAGGCCAAAGATATGTTTCTACATTCTAAGACCATATTAAGTTGTGAGGTATATAAAATCAGAACTGTTTGCACTAAACTTTTTTAATGCTTCTTTTCTTCAGCCACATGGCAGGCAGTTGCAGAGAACATAAACATTTACCAAGTACTTATATTTAATGTAGTGTTCAAAGTGCTTACAAGAGTTCTGATTTGACAGAACCGAAGAATTTTGATTGCTCTTCCAGCAAACGAAGGAAAAACAAAATCTAAATTCTTTTTATTACTCTGTTCTAATTAAAAAGCTTATCTTTCGCACTTTCATTTATATTGCTTAATTCAGTGATAATCAGTGATGACTCAATTCCTCCGCAGTTATTGTATGTGACTATTAGAAATCTAAATGCTTCCCATGTCAATTCAGCTAGTGAGAATCTCGTAATTTTAACGGGAACACAGTAGGATTTTAAGGTGATTGCCGACTTCAGTAGGAAGATCTCGCTTCCTCCTCTGGCGTCATTAATGTCAAGACCTGTCTAATACATGGGAGTGAAAGAATAAAAAAATGAAGGTATCCTCTGGTCACTTTTTCTATTAGGAGCAATCACCGTACAGAACTTGGATTTCTTTTATAAATAAATCTTCCCCGAAAAAAGAGAAAAATTGAGACAGATTTGAGATAACACACACAAAGGGTAAATAAAATGCTTCCCTACCACCACCCAAGTAAGGAAGTTATTAGAATTAGAACCCTACTTACTATTCCTTCCACACAAGCAATATTCAAGATCTAGCAGCTCGCGTTTACGTCTCACCCCCATTCCCTGCCCAGGTTACCTGTGGAAGCTGATGTTAATGTGCTTGTTGTAGGTAGTAGCACAGCCCGCCGCGGCGCAATTGGTCGGCATTTCCCTTTCCCCCTCATTCGGCGCTGTCTTAAGCCTGTTCTGAGGCGCTGGCTAACGCTTCCTTCGGGCGACTGGGCAAGTGAGGCAGGGGAAGGGCCCACCGAGTCGTGGCAGCGGGGTAGGGAGGTAGGGGTGTGTGTGTTTGGGTAGTGTCAACCTTCCCTTTTTCTTTATTAATATGGCGGACTTGAGCCAGCAGAGCTGACAGTCCTGGAGCTTCAGTCGCCTTCCTTTGCCTTCACCAACATGGCGGAAATAACTCGACTCCTCCCTGACACCTAAAAGGGACTGGGACTACTGCATCTCTTTGGCAGCCGTCCTCCGAGCAATTGAAAAGAGGTATTCCCCACCCCCTCCCACCATTACTAAGAAACTCTTTCCAGGCGGAGATTAAGAACACCGCCCACCCCACCACGCACCCAGATATCCCTATCCGGAGTCTGAGGTAGGTGTGAGCTGTGGAGTGGAGACAAATCTGAAGAGAGGGAAGAAAGACTACAGGTCCCGCCAACGATTGCGTTGTCTTGATGATTATCGCGGGAACTGGGAGCCGTGTTTCCTGCGTGGCGCAGGAAGTGACATCACGGGTAGAGCCACTTCCAGAGCCGCTTTCTCGCGAGGCGGAAGAGCCCGATCGCGGAGGAGCAAGGGGGCGCTAGGGAAGGGAACTGGGTTGCGACGGTCCGGCGAGAAAGAGCTGTGGTGCGGGGAAGTTGGGGAGCAGAGCCTGCTAGGTGTCCGAGTAGGGGAAGGCCGCACCGACCGGGTCCGTTAGAAAAGAGAATCGAGGAGGAAGGTAATTGTCGGGCGAATCCCGGACGGAGGGCTAAGGTTGTGAGAAGGTGCTGCTCTCGGGATGGCGACCGCAGACACTCCGGCCTCCAGTGGCCTCTCGCCCAAGGAAGAAGGGGAGCTAGAAGATGGGGAGATCAGCGACGACGATAATAACAGCCAGATACGGAGCCGGAGCAGCAGCAGCAGCAGTGGCGGCGGGCTGTTACCGTATCCGCGGCGAAGGCCTCCTCACCCGGCCCGGGGCGGTGGATCCGGCGGCGGAGGCGGTGGCTCCTCTTCGTCGTCGTCCTCTTCTCAGCAGCAGCTGAGGAATTTCTCACGCTCACGGCACACGTCGGAGCGGGGCCACCTCAGGGGACACAGCAGCTACCGACCCAAAGAGCCCTTCCGGTCTCATCCGCCCTCCGTGCGGATGCCTTCGAGCTCACTGTCCGAAAGCAGCCCCCGGCCGTCCTTCTGGGAACGGAGCCACATCGCCTTGGACCGTTTCCGCTTTCGAGGCAGGCCTTACCGGGGTGGGAGTCGCTGGAGTCGGGGGCGTGGAGGGGGTGAGCGAGGAGGCAAGCCGGGGGGCAGACCACCTCTGGGAGGAGGAGCGGGATCCGGATTCAGCAGCAGTCAGAGCTGGCGTGAGCCCTCCCCACCTCGGAAGAGTTGTATCCTTAACGTGGCGGTCTGCCCTGGGTGTGTCGCATACTAAAGTTCCCTTTAGCGTCATTACTAGGTCTGAGATGAGTAACTTTTCTGAACCATCAGAACCGCTTTTTTTGTCACTGTCAATTTAAAGTAAGTTGTTTCTTGGTGATCCGTGTGTGTCACGTTGTAGTTTTTTTTTTTTTTTTTTTAAAGACTGCTTTATTGGGTGTGTTGCTTTTTAACATTAACGGATCGTGGTTTGGGGCCAAGCTAGTGCAATCTTAAGTGTAAAATCAGGTTTATAATAGTTCATCAGAAACCCAAATTTCATTAGCATTTGTTTTCGCTGGCACAGGAACCTTGTATATGAGGTTGACTTGGATTGTTGGAGAAAAAAATACAGTTACAAACAGTTTGGGGAATACTGTTGCTTATATTGCACTTCGATATTGAAAATTAAGAAGTTTAATTTTGTATAATAATACTGTTTTTACTTGTGTGTTTTTTTTAAACCTTGTTTTAGTCTTACATTTTGTGCCTTTTAAAGTGGAAAATAAAGAGACCCGGTATCTTCCCCAACTGTATTAGTTCAGAGCTTTTAAATTCCTATATCTCTTTGGAAAACCTTACCTCTTTAACTTCTCTATTTTTTACGTTCAGTTTTGGGGTATTTTATAACTCTTAGTGTTGACAAATGTGGGCTAGAGAGAGAATAAACTTAATGGCATTTTAATTTTAATATACTGGAAGCTATAGGGTATATGGGAGGGCGGAGATTATAGAGAGGTTGAGAATGAAAATAGCAAAATATCAGATTTTTGTTCCCTCTAACTTTATGCTTAGTTATCTTTAACATTCCTGAGTTTACTCAGGATTTATACTGAGTCGATCATCTATCTGAAGGTTTGCTGTTTTATAATGGGTTTGTAGAACTATGTCTTGATTTATTTCATGATAACTGCATAAAAATAGTTTAAGGAGCATTTTTATTACTGGTTGTAATTTCTGTCGTGTAATGACTTAATATATTTATTATGTGTGAAACTTATGTATAATGACATTTGTTTGGAAGACAATTAACATTATTTTTATGGAATACTTAGAGCCATATGGTTTTTTTCAGATTGTCAAGATATGAAGGCAAGAAATATAGGTTTAGGTAAGAAGTAGCAGCTTCTGTTGCTAATGCCCTGAAAAAAACTTAACTTCTGCACCAAAAGTTGGGTTAGGAGCATTCCAGGAGTGTTTCAGAGAAAATCATGTAGGTATTTAACTTTTTAAAAGACAGGATGTTCTTTAAAGAATTTAGAAAACCTCTTTCTGCCCAAGATATATTTTTAACTGAGAATTTGATATTAATTAATTCTGAATCTAAAAACAGAAGGTATTTAAAAGCACATATATATAAGAATAGGAAAGATGAAACTTGTAATTTATGTTGGACGGACAAATGGAAATACAGTTTATGTAAAAAGTTCAAATCGAGGTACATAAAAAGTATGTGAGCTCAGTTTTTTCTTAATTCTGTATTAGAGAAAGGAGTGATGAATGGACTTGCCTGCCTTTCTGTCCATTCATTCAATACCAATTTGGTCTCTGCCATATATCTTTATTAATTCAATTTATATGTTTTTATTAATAAAAAGGCATATGATGTTGTGAAAAAGAGTGCGGGAAGATATCCAGTCTGATTTCTGTAGTAACTTATCAGAAATGAGCTGTCTTCCTGTTTTTCTTTTCACAGATGCTGCACTTAAGAAAAGGATGCTTGTTTTGATCCTCTGCTCATTGTTTTTCTCGTGAAGTATCGTTAATCCATCCTAGAGGTGGTATTCTTTATAAGAATTTGTGAAAGAAAACATAGTTCGTGGCCACTTTTGTGTAATGTGAGCAAACAAAATTTATAATACAAAATTTTAATTCAAATACCTTTAATATCAGAGTTGTACTCAGTTTAATTCATATTTTTATTGTTGATTATAATGACTTTTTTTTTTTTTTTAACAAATGTTACATTAAGAAAAAGGGTTATTCTGTGACTCATTTCCATAATCCTGAAGTGAGGTAGCATGAATACAAGTGGTTTTTTCCCACTTCTTTCTCTGTAATGATTAAGGTATACTAGATGTAGCTTTCAAGAAACAGTAAATCAGACTCTATTGCACTACTTATTTTTATTCTCATTTTTAATTTTTGTTAGGGATAGATACTTAGTTAATCTTAGCATATGTCTCCTTTGGATGACTACTGTTTCAAACTTTCAAATCTGTTGAGAGCAAAAATAACAGGCCACTGTTTCTTATCAGTAGAAAGTCATTGTTTGCACCTGCAGTTATATTCACTAGAATCTTTTTTTCAAACTAAGTGTCAGTTAGAAATTGCATCTAGATCAGCTTAAAATTAAATCTTTTAAGTGCTGGTTTCATCCTAGCTGTCCTGTATAGACTATAGGATTTCATTTAGCCTTGAAGGAGATTAGTCAGTTACAGTCCTAACAATTACTTTTCCTTATTTTTCTGTCCTTATTTCTTGTTAGTTTATTGAATCTTTTCCCTTTACAAATGTTTCCACGGTCCTTTTTTTTTTTAATTCGGTTGTATCTTTAGATAGCTCTGTTGAAAAGCGAGATGTAAATGCAGATAATTACCAGAATTTATGTACAAATACATAATGATGGGGTGGAGGAGCAAGTAATTCTCTGGCTTCACAGAAGAGGTGAATTTGAATTTGAATTAATTTGAAGAACAGAAAAAAGTGAGATTGGAAAGGAAGTACTGGTCAAATCATGAAGGCATTAATATGCCATTATAAAGATTTGGACTCTATTCTTAATGAGATTTTAAAAAGGGAAAAGATCTGATGGGATTTGTATTCTAGAATAGCAGTATGGGGGATGGCTTGTGTGTGAGAGAGAGAGCCCCAAATGCCTATTACCAGGCCAGACTTCTCTATTTTGGTACGTAAAACTATGGGAGTGCATTAGAACACTCAGAGGAAGACGCTTAGAAGAGTTCACTGGAGAGCACCTTTATTGCAGGAGTTGGAGACAAGGGAGTCATGAAGACTTAAAGGAGAAAAAAAAGGGAAACAAGGGGAGAGTATAGTTATGGAAGCCAAGAGAGAAGTGGTTTATCGTGTCCAGTGCTACAGAGAGGTCAAATAAAAAATAAGATTTGAAAACGTGAATAAACTCAGCAGAAGCCAGATTCCATTTGGTGGAAGAGTAATGAGAAACGAGTAGTGAGAAACTAGCATTCTTTCAAGAAACTTGGCTCTGAAGAGGAGAGATCAGAAAACCAGAGCTTTACTGGAACAGTTTTGCTACAGAACTGCTAAGGTTTTCAGTTGTAATGCTCGTTTAATTTCTAAAATATTTGGTGGTGCTTCCGGTTCTTGAATTGGTCATTGGAGAAGTTTACAGTCTTTTCAGGTTGCTTGTCTTGTACGTTACTAAACAAAAGAAACATTTGGGAACTGTAATGTTTTGTCCTAGCTACAAATGATCTATAAATGACATTGTATTTAAATTACACAAAGTACTTGTCTTTTTCTTGTTAATTTTTAGGAGAAGTGAGGTGTAACTGTTCTTATACCTATGAATTATTTTGAATAAAAGTTATAGTTTGGAACTATGTAGCCATTTGCAGGAAAGAAGTTATGTTATGTATATCACTATGTTAGAAAAGAAAAATAGCAAAAGTGATTGGTTTAGATGTCCTTTAGAGGAAAATTAGAAGATACATTTTGAATACTATATAAAAGTTTATTTTTTTATTGTATAACTACCTTCATTGTCTTGTGTATATGCTAGATGTTAGTATACTTGAGCTCTAAGATTGTTATGTATTAGGTTTTTAAGCAAATATTTCTTATTAAATTAGTGTTAATTATTATTTATCAGTTTTTATTTTTATCTTTATTTTTTTTTTAATTGGAGACAAGAAGACACTAAGTAAAAAGAAGAAACGTTTCCTCCTGATTATATGAAGTGTAAATTATCCACATCTGTAACAAATCAGTCTCTCCCCTCTTCCTTTAGAAAAGAATCTTT